CTGAAGCAGGAAAGAGCTAACGTGTAACCAGCCGTGTTACAGACACTGTTCGGAAAAAAAAGCACTTATTTAATTAAAAGTGAAAAAAAATCTGTGTAAATATTCCATGTTACAACTATATATGAACAGTTATTTTTTTCTGTTTAAATTTAGGGGGTGCGGCTTATATTCAGGTGCGCTTAATAGTCCAGAAATTACGGTATAATATACTGTATATATAGAAATTAATTAAATAATCAGCTACAGAAAATAATATTTAAAGACACTTTTTGACTGACTGTCAATACATTTTGGTGTTGAAAAGGAGTCGGGAATTTCCATAGTTAACAAACCTAGGAGTAAAACTGCTAGTTTTACCCCTGCCTGCACTTTCCCTTGTAGGGTTCAGTGTGTGACGACTGGCTGGTCATGTCCTGCGTGCCTTTCTGTGGACTGTGTCAGATGGCCCGAGAACAGAAGATGAGGGGACAGTGAAAGGGACCCGTATCAGATTTCGACTGCAAAGCGAGGGCGCCAATGAAATGTCATTTTGTGGCCCAATTACATTGTTTTACATTTCAACAAGTATTGCAATCTGCTTTGAATATATACGACAGATCAAAATTGACACTAAAAGGAAAACTATAAAATATATAACAGACTGTACCACTATTGTTAAAAAAGACTGCACTGGTGATTTGTTTCACGTACTGTAGTATTTTCTAGGTTTAAAGAAGTCAGGAAAATTTAAAGTTTAAGTAACTTTTCTTAGATCTGGAAAATTTGCATTTTTACGAATACTAATAATGCAAACTAATTACTCGCAGAATGTTAGTTCTAGTAGTAATACCTCAAAATTAATACAATTTGTAACTATTGGAATCTATGTAGTACCCCAATGCTATATTGTACTTTATGTCTGCCTCCAGTTAGAAACCATCCACTCAATCTCCATTTGCCAAATATCCACGTACAAAAGGTTCCATTTGTGTAGTTACTTATATTATTATTGCATTGTTGCATAGATTTTTTTTTAAGCAATTAAGGAAAATAAAATGTATATGTGTATAGAATGTATTGGGACCAGACAGTGGAGTATAAGAAAATTATTGGTGTTAAAACAGAAAAAACACTTGCAGCTCTTTGGAAAAAATGTAAGTATATTATTTGATTGTGATACTCAAGTTTGAACTGCTACTACTTCCAAATCTTGGTATATTATTTGACTGTGATACTCAAATACGTATGTTTGAACTGCTACTACTTCCAAATCTTTGATTGATATGAGATTTGAGCATTTTTTTTGTCCATTGTTGTGATTTTTTAACGTAAGAGATGTGTCACTAGAACAAAGTGAACAGGGAAATGAAAGAAGATTGAGAAATGAGGAACTATCCTAACATAACATCGGGGGGTTACAATCTCCAAAATGCAAGCCAGCAAAACTCAAGCAACAACAACATAAGTCATTGTTGAACAAGAAAACACGTTGAAGGACAACACTGACACGGGTTTCTTCCGCAATTTCAAACAGACAACGGAACAACATGTAAGCCGTATTCTGAAAAAAACAAACAAAAAAAAACAAACAAAACAGACAAGCTTAATATTCGGACCAAAACCATTTATCTTGACTGAATTTCTAAACCCTCCCGTTGTTTTTCGCATTTTGTACACACCCAGAGTCCTCGCAACGGGTTCGCATCGTGTCCCAGAATTAGAGTATAAGGAAAAGTTGGCACACAAGACACAGAAATGCAGCTTGGGACAAAGGACAACACGATGGTTAAGACTCACTTGATTTGATGGTCTGGATCAAACTAAGGCCCGGGGGCCGGATGCGGCCCGTTCAGCTTTTTAATCCAGCTCGCCAAACTTTTCCAAATTGTATAATTTATTAATATTATCACTATACTTCTGCCTTCTCCCTGCAATACCCACGTTTCCCCAATAGATGGCGAAGAAAACGACAAAAGCATTTTAGCATTTTAGCCTTTATGCATGACTTTTACATGTGATTTATCTTCAGTTTACACCAACGCTCCATCTATCTGCTCCTGACCCGGCCCACGCCGAGTCCAGATCATGTGTCAAACTCAAGGCCCGTGGGCCAAATGAGGCCCTGCCAAGTCATTTTGTTTGGCCCGCGCGATCTTAAAAAGTGCTTATTAGTCTTATAATAAAAAGTTTCTTAACTTGATGAATTGACTATTACACAAAGCAATGTACCGTATTTGTAACTTGAATTTTTGTCAGGGACCAGAATTTTTCTGGAGAGACACTTTGGAAGCCGGACACAAATGAAAATCACATTTTTGACATTATAGTTTGATGTTTATTTTGCAATCTAATCACGAGCTGGATTAGATTCTGGATTAGGTTCGGCGGACTGGGTGTGGCCTGCGGGTCTCCAGTTGTCTGGACGCAGGGGACCCGGTCTTTACTACTAAAGACTGACAACAAAGACTGTTTTGCAGCTCTCTCCTAGGGTACTTAACCCTTTCATGCATGACGGTCACTACAGTGGACAGCTATTAAAATGTCATTTTCTATGATAAGAATAAGTTTTGAAGGCAGTGTTGCATATAAGCCTCTACAGCGGACGCCTGAGAATCCACTGTAGAGGCTTGTATGAATATATGAGTATAGTTTTTCTCCTCTCGCTAAACTCAGATTATGTTGACATAATCCCGATTTATAACATGCTGCTCTGATAACAACATGATAGCTAGAACTTAATTAATCTCTCGAAAGGTCCCTTTGGGAAATTAGGCTCCAGTAGCCGTACAGCACCAGCATACGTTTTACCAAAAACATCGCCGGTAAAGACGCTAAACACACACACTTTGAAAACGATATTGATTTAACTGAGTAATCACCCACAAATGGACTCCAAGTTGAATTCATAAAAACGTGTAAATGAATCAGTGGTATCAGTTATCGTGATCAAATCAGTTTATTAGCGGTGCACTTAGAGTGACATGTTTTGTTTTGTTTGTACAACGACAGTAAACATTCACAGCTATTTAACCTGCTAATATTAACTTGGCCAAATGAAATGCTTAGACAACACATAATTGTGTAATTGTTTCTTGTCTAACTGACTAAAAGAAAGAAAAACACGTGACATATGAAAATTACGTGCATTTAAACACACTGTTTGACACAGCGAGGCCGTAAACACACACCGCTGTTGGAATTTCGCAAGACAAAAACGCTGGATCACACGCCAGTACACGTCAGTACAACCTCATTGGAGGAAATGACCAGTGGTCAGAGCCGTGTAAAGGCGAAAGGGGAGGGCTTTTGCTTTGCAACATGTAGGAAGAAGGGTAGTGGACCGTGTCTGAGGGGAAGGAGCTCAGGAGAGGGCCGGTGTGAAAATGACTGCTCGTGTAAGGACTGTGAACTTGGTCGCAAAAAGGAGAAGCAAAAGCATATTTGTCACTTTTGAACGGCTCCTTGGTAAATTGCCTCTCTGTCGGTGGTGGTGGTGGTGAAGAAGAAAGAAAAAACTGCTGACTGCTCGTGTCTCTGAGCAAACGGCGTCCGTGTCCAGCTTCTGTGCTGGGATTCATTGAGCGCTTTTCAAAAGAAGCACAGAGAGATGACACTTTGGTTTCTGGCCGGTTGAAACTTCTTTCCGAGCGCTGAGATTGTGAGGCTTTCTCTGGCCAACTCGAAGCAGGTAAAGGTGCGAATAAGTGATCTCTTGGTGATTTACCACCAGGTCCAGGGAAAGCAAATAATGGAGTGCAGCACGTAGGTCTCAGAATGTCATGTAAAAGGATGGGAGAGGTATCCACAGGGTTTGTTGGCCACTCAGGAGCCTGTCAGAAATTGACAACGCATCATCAAAAGAAAGACTGCTTTCCTCATAAAGATGGCTACTCAACATATGTAACTATACAACATATATACACGGCCTCCTTCCGTATAACAGATGCTGCTGCAGATATTCTGCTCCACCATGTGTCTGAGCTCACGGTAATGATTACAGAAGGGCTGACTACGTCGAAGATCCTCCACAAAGCGGTGGTTGCTGTCGCTCTCGATCGTGTTGTTTTAGCTGCGTGTAAACAACAGTCACTGATGCACGCAGGCTTTAGCTGGCTTGCCTTTGGGGGGGTAATGTGAGCGCAGGCCAAAAGAGTGACAGGATAGGGGCGCGTTCGGGACTTTAGCGCAGCAAAGAGGCTAATCAGGGCTAGTGAGTGCCTGTGAGTTACAACCACGTACTTAACGGCGCCTCGCATGGCAGCTTGTGTAAGTTAGAAAACGTAACCAAAAAAAAAAAAAAAAAAGCAATATTAATAACGACAAGTTTCACAATGTAAATGTCCCCAATGTGGCATGAATAAGGCACTCAATAATTATTACTATTATTATTATTATTAAAAAACAGCACTAATGTATCTGTCTGGCTTCAGCACGTTTGCCTTTGTAATAATGTGAGAGTGGGCCAGTAGGGCCGGCATTCGGGCTTCAGCATGGTACAGAACAATTGGACCTAGTGCAGGCGTGGGCAAACGTTTTGACTCGCGGGCCACAATTGTACTAAAATTAAACAGTGGGGCAGGAGCAGATAGGATAAAATGGCATGTAAAAGTCATGCATAAAGGCTAAAGGCAGTGGTGGCTTAGTGGTTAAGGAAGCGGACTTGGGTAGGGAACGCTTAGTTACCACTGAGGTGCTCTAAGCATGGCCCCTGACAATAAAGACTAATTTCTTCATGCTAAAATATTTTATCATTTTCTACGCCATCTATTGGAGAAACGTGGGCATATCAGGGAAACGGCATTAGTATAATGATGAAGTTTGGCGGGCCGGATTAAAAAGCTGAACGGGCTGCATCCTGTCCCCGGGCCTTAGTTTGCCCATGTCTGCCCTAGTGCTGAGTGAACTTACTTACTTACTGAACTTGAGAAAAGTTAAACTCATTGGGTCTGTGCTAATATGTATCATTAAACAATGTGTTTATCAACTGCGTATCAAAGCAAACTAGTAGAAAGAAACTGGAATTATTGGATATGCGGGTCATTCTGTATATTAGTTCATTTGAATTTTTACAAATAAATTAACGCAAAAAGGCATTCACTTTGGCACTGATACTGATACAGGAACACACAAACACTCAAGCTCTTACCATTTCTTGGGGAAGTGCCTGGAAAGTCCAAGGACCAAAACTCTTGTTGGTCATTTCTTCATTTTCCTGGCCGACGTATCCCACCACTTCGTCAAAAAGGCAAGTGGAGGCCTCTAAAGAGGAGGAGACACTATTTTTAATATAACATGTCCTTAAAAAGAGAGAGAGAGGAAAAAAAAAAACATAATATATGTCCTTAAAGAGAGAGAGAGAGAAAAAAAACAGTTTCCCACAGAGACTGCAGGTTCTATAGAAAATGATGCCCAAAAGTGAGGGGAAACAAAAACATCTAGAAAAATGCTTTTGACAGAAATATCTTTTTCCAGGTTTTGAGAGTTGAGATCGTGTGCCCTAAAAATACAAAAAATGACTTTAAACCATATTATAAATAAATATAAAAATGTGACAGGGTGGACTTGTTACTGCTTGTTCGCCGTGTTTTTAACAATTTTGGCAATCGAAAAAAAAAAACTTCCTTTTTTTTTTTTTCGACATTACTGTATAAAAGGTTCACCTAGATACTTAGACGATGATGCAATGTTAAAATGCTCATATGCACGCACACAGAAAGGACATTGCAAAAGTGATCCACAATCTAACGTTGGTAGATTGGGACTCTAACAGACGTGTAGTCTTGGGAGAACTGCACCCTAATACTTTATTGTTTAGTGGCTTGAATTGCAGCCACATAGACACAGAGAGTAACAACTCCGCCCATGGTGGGTTTGTCTTCTGTTTTTCCCTCTTCTCTTTTTGGGTGACTTAACCTAAATTCAGAACAATACTCTTTAATATGGAGAGAACTGTATGGAGTTTCTGTGCTTTTTTTTTTCTATAAAGAAAGACCCGCACTGACAATGTCGTGGTTTATAATCCAAAAACTCTGGGCGACGGTAGAAGTTTAAACACTGCTGAAAAGTCAAGGGATTTGGCTCAATACAACCAGCGCAAACTTGAGAAGATTAATAAATGAAGCTGGAGAACTAATCAACAATAGCACTGGGTAGGTGTGGCAGTACGTCATGAACAATGAGGGCAACAAGCTGGACTCAATCACTCAGACCTCCGTGATCCCAGCCAACAGGGTTATCAGTTGTGAAGGCTGTAAACGCCAACAAATATATAATAAAATGAAATATAACAATATTCTAGTTTCAATTTGCTCACTCGTTTTTATAGCCATCTGCTACCACCTGGTGGAAGGGTATTGAAATACTCTGCTTGTCATTGAGCATAAAGCAATAAAAATGATCAATAGCAAAGTTATAGTTCTCTGATCATGTAAATGAAATTGGATTCGCTACATATTTATATTCACATTATTTGAATGACTAATTTGGCTCATATGCAAAATTCATAAAATGTTGCTTGATCTCAATTTATTATAATTAATCATGATTAACAGTAATCATGGTTAATGGAGGTTTTTTTGTAAAATTAAAAAAATATTAAAGTTAATATTTTAAAAACATGTATGTATTATTATTATTATAATTATTAGTAGAAAAAAATACGTTGACGATGTACAATACACTTTTCAGATTCTTTCGTAGTTTACAACATTTTTAAGTAAAAATACTTTAAACTTTTTTTTTTTTACAGCCATTAAAATATCTTTTTCTGAAAGAGTTTTAATACTACACATCGGAATGAATAGAATGTCTGGAACTTGGACATCTTTGTTTGCTTTCTAACGACTAACATACCTTATTTTCAACAGTATAAGTCACCCTGGAGTACAAGGCGCACCAGCCTGCTAGAGTGCCCTCTAGTGGCCGTCAGTGTGAAAATAACAAATATGTAAATCATCAGTGGTACAGAAGTAGCAGATACTGGTACACAAGCCTAGAGCCGCTGCACAAACGAAGCCAAATGACGGCAGTACTGCAACATCTGGGGTGCATCCAATAATTGATTAGAGAATAGAAAAACAAGAGAGCTAATTAGCCTCTATGCTCTGCTTATCTATGATATACACGGAAACAAATCTGCTTTGGCTTTATCTAACAGGTTTATTAGGACCCCGCAACTGCCTAGTTTTTAATGGCTTACCTGCTGACAAGACATTGTCATCTTTAATGGCCGACTTCAGGCTGTCGTCCTGTTCCATCTCTGTACCGTCAGCACCGAAGCTCGAGCACTGCTGGTTTCTTAGAAGGTTCTCGTGAAGCTGGGTTCCATGCTTTGCCTTAAGAACTCTCCGCAGCGCTGACCGGCTTTCTTCCAGCAGGTCGGTTCTGTTCAGGTTAGCAAAATGCACAGAGTCACACAACTGCGCCGCCATAGTTGACACAGAGGCAAGACATTCTCCTCTGAGCCCAGGGTCCAAGGAGGGTCTGTGTAGGCTGAGGCCACTGCTGCGAGTTTGCCGAGCAGGACGTTCCCTGCTCTTAGGAGAGCTATGGTTCACTCCACATGGCAGAGGCCATTTTTCCTTTTTATGTGTGACTGAGTTTCCCTTATCCGTAGTTACTGCTTCATTGTTAAAGCTACGCTTGGATGAGAAGCAGCTTTTGAAGCTTTCAGTGGAAGGATACGGTTGTGGTGAAGTCATGAGATCTGACTTGTGACTGGCTTCGCTCTTTTTGTCTTGGCCGTCGGCGATGCAATACAGCGAAGAAGCCGCTTTTCGCTCTGGTGACAAAACGGCATTGTGTACAAACAAATCGTCACTGCCAAAGGGAGAGGAAATGCGCAACGCGGAGGATCGGTTCAAAAGCGCGTGGCTCATCTCTTGTCGTTTCTTTACGGATTTTTCGAGCTTTACTCGCTCACTTAGCAAGCGTTCAATGTTAAATGACTTGATCTCATGGTTAAATAGACCGTGGTGTCCTATCAGGCGGCTGTCGGTGATGATACTGTGCTCTTGTGTAAAAGGGACAAACTTTTGATCCCTTTTAGAATTACCGCCACTTGGGCAGCACCTTCTTGAGTCTTTACTGATTCCGTGGCGGCAGTGGCAGTAACCGTGTGCAGTTTGTCTATTCCTTCTCCCTTCACCTCTCCTCTGCATCCTTTTCCTGTGATTCTTTAGCTGTTTAACTTGTTGCTGCGTAGTGGCCCTGCTCCGGTTGACACAGGAACATGTTCTCGAACTCCTCTCCTTGTTACGCTTGGAGCTCATTTTCACCTGAATCTGTTAAGAATTATAATAAGTTAGAAGTAGGGTTATTAGCTGGAAGATATGTGGACAGACAAATACAGGAATTGTTATCTGTTACAAAAAAACGTAACAGATAACAATTCCTGTAAAATTATTTGAGATACAAGTACCTCGAGTTACGAGTTCGGGGCCTGGAACGGATTATGCTTGTATCTGGAGGTTCCACTGTACTTTAACTTTTGTAAACAAGCTTTGAGTTCATCATAAATTAATGGGCGGCATCTAAAAGTTTTTCTTAAATGAGAGATTAACTGACAGTGTAAGTGGACGATTGAAAACATTTAGGTATGCTAATAGCCTTAAGGCTAAATTAGCATACCTTTCTAGAGCATATATTAACAGAGCCATTTGTCAACATGTCAACGGTCTTCAGTAGATTCCGTAATTATGTGGGATACAAATGCCTACAAACGGGTGGTTTAACCGTTTGAAATAATTGTAGCATCTACAATTTTACCAACTAAACTAACAAAGTTACCCCTTAACATAACCACGATACACATTTAAAGAATAAAGAAGCATACATTTACCAGCCATTGGAATTGTAGAAATTAGCTTGTAGCTTGTAGCCGACCAGCTGCGGTAATAACGTCCGGAAACAGGTGTTGTTTTACGCGTAAATTACAGCAGCAAAAACACACTTCGACGTCTTTGTATAAGTGTTAACGTAATAACAGTTTGACGGCTCCGTACATTCCTTTCAAAACATCGTACGAGAGATATTTTTTACTTGTAAAAAAAAAAAAAGTATTCTGTGGAAACTGAAAAAATATGCAACAGTTGAAGCCTGCGCGTGGCCTTAAATAAACTATCGCCTGAACGTGTGATGCCTTCAGGTGCCATGGAAATGTGGTTTTCGCATGCCCTCAGCACAATTGCTTCAATTTGGAAATTGGGAGAGCATACGGACTCACAAGTTTTACTTTGTTTTTTAACACATGTCGTTTAAAATATAGAGAGTGTGTTAGGGCTTTAATTTATTAATCATGGAATTTCTCATTTAACTTGCATTTTTGGACAACTTTGGCATGGTTATATCACCTCCCTTGTCAGCAAGAAATTGCTGAAATTACTCTGAAATGACTCTGGTTTAATTTAAATTTTAAAACATAGGTGCCCAATAAGTAGGCGATTAAATGTAGATGAAATTCAATTTTCAGATGCTCATCACCCTTACTTGAACAATAGCCATACATGTACTGAGTCATAAGACGCCATGGCGCTACATAGATTGAATCAGTACCCCTGTATCCCAACATATAACGCACATTTATTTTATTTTATTTTAGCCAGACTATTTAAAAAATAGCCACCAAACCAAAAAGTCTGCGCAACTCTAATTTAAAACATGCAGCTTGGGTATTAATTTTACTGCATGTAGACATACACATTATTCTTGGCGCAACTGAGACGAATCCACTTCTACAGACGACGGGTAAACCAGTGTTTCCGTTGTCTTCGTTTGGTTTTGTCTGCTCGCTTTTAATTACCACAAAACTGTATCTATACGAAATAAAAGTCAATATAAAATGAAACTAGGCAACATAACTCTGTTTTCTTCCAATGACGAATCATTTATATACGATTTATTTTATATATGTATATTGTTGGTCATCAACCACAATGGTACATTCCACTGTAGTAGAAATTACTTCCTGAAACAGAATTGGGGTTGACGACTTTTGGTATTATTGCTTTTTATGTTCAGTATCAATGCTAAATATTACTGCGCTGTTTTGGAAAAAAGTACTAACTTGAAAAATGAAACGTTAGGGATCACTGAATGTTGTTCCTCGGTACTCTGTTAGGTTGCATCGTATGTTTCTGTATGTAGGCTAGCTAACATAGCTACCACTAGCCTCCATTGATTTGGCCAGACATTTGAGCGACGAGACATTGGTTCATCGGGTTGTTGTTTGTGCCTTAGGAAGAAGCGAGACAAAATCCCCACTGCTTTCCCAAGTAGAGTGGAGCCATGAGTGCAGAGGACCTGAATCCGGCCGCCACACCCACTGCCTGTGAGGACATCCACGGAGATGGACGATGGATGTCTATGGTGTGTTCGACTCTTCTCCTTATTGACTACCCTTTAAGCCGCCCTGATGTACAAACTCACAACCGTTTAATATTGGCCGAAGTACAGCCAAACTCAAAAACAATAACATCTGACCAACACCTCCTGTTTTAAAACCTGCCTATCCTAATGTCGGTCTATTCTAATTGCACTCATTTCAAACAGATATTTATTTATTTATTCGGAAAAATGATGTGCTTTCCGTTAGATTGTTTTGCATGAAAATAATTAACTTTGATTATTTAGATGAATTAATGTAATTCAGAAACAAAACATGTTGAATTAATGCACCATTTTTTATTTCATGTTATGATTATGTATCATGCGCCATTTTTTTTATTTCATGTTATGATTATGTATAGCATCATTGTTTGATAATCCTATAATAATTATAATTGTAATCCAATTAAATCACGACTTCCACACCTAGTCATGATTTACATCCACACCAGTGTAACCTCTTGTGACCTTCTGATTTTTTTTTTTTTGATTTTTTTTTTTACCAGCACTCTCAAACCCAATTCATTTCTGTAGTCCTTTTTTTTTTCTGGGCAGAAAACCAAATTGCCGTTAACTGATCTAAACTTCAAGCTTCTTAGCTAAACCTCCACTGGCACCACTGTACAATCTCCTGTCTATTTCAGATGCCCCTCCCTGTACATTATCTAATCCATCTGTGTGTATCTCCCTCCATTCTTTTATGTTATCTTATGTTGCTAAAACATTCAGTTTCTGTATTTTAATCCTAACCCTGTAGGCATACCTTGCACTACTTCATCTAGCTTGCTCCAAAATTCTTATCTCATCTATCTATCTATCTATCTATTTATCATCCAAATATCTATCTATCTATCTTCCTATCTATCTATCTGTCTATCTATCTATCATTTGGTCTATCTATCTATCTATTTATCATCCAAATATCTATCTATCTATCTATCTGTCTGTCTGTCTGGCTGTCTATCTATCTATCTGTCTATCTATCTTTCTATCTTTCTATCTATCTATCTATTTATCATCCAAATATCTATCTATCTATCTTTCTGTCTGTCTTTCTGTCTATCTATCTATCTGTCTATCTATCTTTCTATCTTTCTATCTATCTATCTATCCAGCTACCTTCCTACCTATCTATCTATCTTTCTATCTATCTATCTATCTACCCACCTACCTACCTACCTATCTATCTATCTGTCTATCTATCTATCTGTCTGTCTATCTATCTATCTATCCATCTATTCTATCTAATCTATCTATTTATTCTATCTAATCTATCCATCTCTGGTTGTCGCAATGTTTGTTAATGCAAACTCCACTCGCGTGTCTTCGTCTAAAAACAATGATTAAAATGAGTCTATTTTTCCATTCTTTCCTTTCTGTTGTAGCACAACCGCTTTGTGTCCGACAGCAAGGACAAAGAACCAGATGTGCTGTTTGTTGGAGATTCTCTCATTCAGCTCATGCACCAGTTTGGGGTAAAATATCTGATTCATACAACAGGCTCTTGTCTAAACTGCAATGTTGTTTCTGCATTTAAATTGACTTACGTTGAAAATGACGCCATAGATATGGAGAGAGCTGTTTTCACCTCTTCATTGCCTGAACTTTGGGGTCGGCGGCGACGCAACACAACACGTTCTCTGGCGACTGAGCAATGGTGAACTTGATAACATCAGCCCAAAGGTTTGGCAATTTTTTTTTTTTTTTTTCGGTTCATAAAGTGTCCTCTGTGCTGGAAATTTGAATTCTTTTTTATATGTTATATATACTTTTACCGATGTACCCGGTCCTTCCTCTTTTGTTGTTTGTAGAATATTTTATATATACTTTTACCGATGTACACGGTCCTTCCTCTTTTGTTGTTTGTAGATTGTAGTGCTGTGGGTGGGCACCAACAACCATGGGCACACGCCTGAGCAGATCTGTGGAGGCATCTTGTCAATTATCCAAGTCATCAAGAACAAGCTCCCTCATGCCCACACGATCGTGCTCGTATGTTTTTCCTGAAATATTCCTGTGTTTCCCCCTATTAATCTCAATATCTGTGACATTGCCAAAGACCGTTCTGATTTCTTGGTGACATGAATAGTTCACTTTCAGGTGTGTCTTTATTCATACCCATTTACCCGTGCGTGCTTCCAGAATTGCTGTAAATCATTCCATGAAATTCACGCCGTAGAAGTCAAGGTCACTGGACACCTATTAAAACACGGTCTCAGATTTATTTTCTAGAATTTTATGGACGGTGGCGCACGTCGACAGCATGTCTACACATGGCAAATTCGAGTTCTCACATGCCGCTTTGATATTGGCACCTCTCACACTGCAACGTAATGCACCCTTGCTCCTCAGCGTTCAAATGAACTAATTTGGGTGCAAAAGCTATAAAAAAAAACTACTTCAGGGTTTTGCTCTCCCTCTGTGTTTGTGTGAACAAAAACCTCAAACTTTTAGTGCAGCGCTCGGAAAACACGTTGATTCTCGTGCTGATAACATGATGCCATGATAATATCCTTCTGTGAGATGTGAGAGGTTTTGTGTGAACAAAAACAGGTTTCAAGCGTGCAGCAAATCCCACATCAAAAGTCAGTGTCAACACAAAAGCCGGCTGAATGTGAAAACAGCAATAGTGATTAGCAGAAAGTTGACACGGCTGGTCTGCTTGTGTTTATGGGCTAAAACCAGGCATGGGCAAACTAAGGCGCGGGGGCCGGATGTGGCCCGTTCAGCTTTTTAATCCGGCCCGCCAAACTTTTCCGAATCATATAATTTATTTATATTATCAATATACTTCTGCATTTTTTTCCCTGTAATACCCATGTTTCCCCCAATAGATGGCGTAGAAAATTGTAAGAGCATTTTAGCATTTAAGCCTTTATGCATGACTTTTACGTCATTTATCTTAGCTCACTGGAGGTTTACTTGATGGATGATCGTCTGTCTGTAAATGGAGGTTCACTTGATGGATGATCGTCTGTCTGTAAAAGTCGGTGTTTGTTCACATTGGCTAATACAGTGTTTCTCAAAGTAGTTGGCCGTGACGTGTCGCGAGAGGGCACTTTCAGTGGCCTTTTTTTTTTTCCAAGTTCATGCTTGACAGTAAACAAACCTCCAGTCAGTAGATGGCAGCAGAGCAAGCTTTAGTAATCAATTTTGATAATCAGGGGATTGTATGCAGAATGCTGGTACCAGCGGTTTGTATAGATGAATAAATAAATATTACCAGATTCTCAATAGTGTTTCAATTCAGGGGGAGGGCGGGTGTGAAAAAACTTCTGTCCCCTAGGGGGTGCATGGCAGAAAACAATTGATTCAGATGTTACTGCTTATTACTGTAAGAACTAAATGATGTGAAGATTAACATTAGACGTGTGCATTTATTTTGTAGGGATTACTGCCCAGGGGTAAAATGCCAAATCCTCTGCGGGAGCGAAATGAGGAAGTGAACAAGCTGGTCCAGAAGGCCCTTTCCACTCTACCCCACGGCTCTTTCTTCGACGTAAACCCCGGCTTTGTCCACTCCAACGGCAGCATTTCCCATCAGGACATGTACGACTACCTTCATCTAACTCCCCAGGGCTACCAGGCCGTGTGCGAACCCCTGCATGCACACCTGAAGTCCATGCTAGAGAAACCTGCGGAAAACTAAGCAGCCAGTTTACAAGCTCAAACACTGCCACAGTGTTCCTCGCCCCTGTTTCCAGAGAGCAGCGCGCTTACTGTAGCTTCTCGCAGTCAGTTATTTACAGTCCAGAGAAGCACTTAACACCTGTGCGTGCCCTCTCGACATTCAGGTCCGGTGACCACTGTGACGGGTAAAATATGAAGTGATTGGTGTTAATGATACAGTCAGAAATAACGCACATGTGTTGTAGCGAGACAGCATCCTGTTTCAGTTTCTGATGACGTTCTTTTCCACTAATGTTTCTGTTTTGACTTGACACCTGATCAGTGAGCCAGGAGTTGAAACCGCTGAAGGAATGGTATGAATACATTCGTATATGTTCTCTCCAGATCCACTTATCTCAGTTCATTTTCAATGACCCTGCGTCTAAAAATATATACGGACAATGTTTGATTTTCGAAGGAAATCTTTAAAGACCTAGGAACAGGATTTCTCTGGAGAAAGTAAAAAAAAAACAAAAAAAACTGGCTCTTTAATTGGCAGAACATTTAATGGTCAAATAAGTCACATACAAATGATTCCCTAACAATCGAATTATAAAAAGTAGTAGTATTTGGTTTATGTTTCATGATGTATGATATGTTTGTCTATAGCTCTTTTTTTTTTTTACTCTGTTGTGATGCCTTTCTTAAATGGTTATTTGGTTGACAAAATGCATTTCATTGACCATTACTGCCTACTTATTGTATGACACAGTATCTCCATTATTATTATTATTATTATTTTTTTTTTTTTTTGCTTTGTACGATGTACTTAATTGTGCTTCACCTGTCGTGAAAGCTTGTGTCAGTGGATGTATGGGAGTCGATGGCGAAGCTGCTTGTGCACTCTTTTTTCGTTTACATATTGAACTGAAAGGCATGACTTCACACACTAAAAAAAACGCTTCTGAATTGTACTCCTGGATGGCTGATTGTGTAATGTATAAATACATTAAACCTAAAAAATGATCACATGTCCTACTGATTTCTCTGAATTGTGACGTTGAACCGAGTCGTCGTCTCTGCTATTGTTTCACATGTTGATTTCCTCTATTTGGCTACTTTTAACAATAGCTGGATAGTGATTGTCTTTTAACAGCAGGGTTATTACATGTCTTACTAACATTAAAATACTATAAGAGCATTGCAAAAATCTTCACTTATATAGCATTTTCTAAGTCCCGATTAGGAATCGCTTGGTGCAACTTTTTCACATCCAAAGCCAGTACTGCAACTTGGAGTATCTGCCGACACCTATGCGATATCTTTTTTCCTACAGCATGCTACGGCCAGCTGTTGCTGGGGCAACGGTGTCCCAGTTTACGGCACTTAGCGCAAAGTTACTTTAAGTTGAGCATTTGGGCTAGGGTATTGGATTATACAGACTATAGTTGTTTTTTTATGTTTGGATGGTGGATAGATGGATAGATGGATGGATGAATGATGGATAGATGGATGGATGGGTGGGTGGATAGATAGATAGATAGATGGATGGATGGATGGATGGATGGCTAGATGGATGGATGATGGGGATGATGGATGGGTGGATAGATGGATAGATAGGATGATGGATGGGTGGATAGATGGATAGATGGATGGATGATGGATGATGGATAGATAGATGGCTAGATGGGTGGATGATGGGGATGGATGGTTAGATAGATAGATAGGTAGATAGATATATAGATAGATAGATAGGTAGATAGATATATAGATAGATAGATAGATGGATAGATGGAGGGATGGATAGATGGAGGATGGGGATGGCTGGATGGATGGATGATAGATAGATGGATAGATGGAGGGATGGATAGATAGATAGATAGGTAGATAGATATATAGATAGATAGATAGGTAGATAGATATATAGATAGATAGATAGGTAGATAGATATATAGATAGATAGATAGGTAGATAGATATATAGATAGATAGATAGGTAGATAGATATATAGATAGATAGATAGATAGGTAGATAGATATATAGATAGATAGATAGAGAGATGGATGGATGGAGGATGGATAAGAACACTGCCCTTCCTTCTGAGCTCCATTCACCCCAACACTGACAAGTACACACCAGATTCCGATATCAACACCCTTAGCTGAGATAACTAAAAAAAAAGGTCACTCACAGAAAGACAAGACTGTAAAAAAGATATGATGCGGGCCCCACATTTTCTCGTATCAATGAAGTCACAGCTCATGAGCTTGTTTAGATTTGTTGTCAAGGGTATAAAATTTCAGGTTTCCATAGTTGCCCATTGTTAAGATGCAGGTTGGGCAGGGCATTGCATCATGTCTCAGTTTCACAGCATTATAAGTAGCCTGAATTCCGCTCTCAGAGTCTGCTGCTCGTCCAACCTTTACGAATCGCAGGCTTTTTGCAACATGGACTCATTCATGTTTCTGATGCTGGTTCTTGCGTTGCTTGTTTGCGTTAACTACAGCCAAGGTATTGTTTTAAAAGAAGACAGTAGTGCGATGTGAGAGTATGCTGATGTTTGTAGTATATTTCAAATTTTTTTTTTTCAGGTGTTCCCGAGATAGAAGACAAACCTCTGATGGTTAATCCGCCGCTCACTAATGGTAAGTATTTAAAAAGAAAAGGTACGCTTTTTTTTTGTTTTTTGAATCACATCATTCTCTAAAGCAGCGCTCCCCAACCGTTTCTGCGCCACAGACTGGTTAAATGTCTGAAAATCTTTTCACGGACCGGTCTTTAAGGTGTGGTGGGTTAAATACTAAACTAAATAAAATGATATAACCGGCATAGAAACTGGTATATAGACAGATGCGACGGAGAGAAACCGGTAATCTTTCAAAATAAAATATCGTTCAGAATCAGATAATAAACAAAACGGAAATATCCGGTACCAATTGACCACAGAACAGTGCCGGTCCGCGGCCCCGGGGGTTGGGAACCACTGCTCTAAAGCTATGCTCGGTTTTAGCAGTTCCAAATTTATCATAACTTTTTTTTTTTTTTAATTTATTACAGACTCTGCCCTGGAAGAAATGCTGACAACTGCAAACCCAGTGACAAACCTGAATAATCCAAAGAGGCTGTGTAAATGTAGAGTTGGTAATGCTGTGGATAATGTTGCCACATATAATTGTGCTTATCATTATTTGTAATCAGAGATTAAGTGTTTGTTTTTCCCAAACTCCCCCTTCTCTTTTCTCCTACGTGGATGTGGGTCATCCAGGAAAAGAAGGAGCCATGGTAAATACCCGCTGCCATTGTCAGCGATCTGAACGACACAGGAGAAGAGGAAAAAGACGTGAGTTTACGGAAGCGTATTGCTGCCACACTGAGAGAGAGAAAAAAAAAAAGAAGGCTCAGTTTCACGTTATTACGTGAAACTTATCACGAAATAATGTAAAGTTTCACATTCTCACGTTCACTCAGAATGAGTGAAGATATCGTTGAGATATTGCACTAAATACCAATTTCAAAGTGACAAAACATGACAAATGGATTCAGATATAACCTGTTACAAAGTGCATATTATATCTGCTTCTTGTATAGTCCACATAAACAAACAATTCCTATCAAGAAGCAGTTTTGCACTGTAATATTAAATATTTGGTATATACTGTACACTCAACATAAAAACAATGACAGGGTAATAATAATAAAATAAAATAATTTTTATTTTTATTTTATTTATTTATTTATTTGTATTTATTTGTATTTATTTATTTATTTTTATTTTTATAATAATTTCCCCCAGTGTGGGATCAATCATTTTCAACCTTTCTAAAATAAAAACACCTCAGCTTAATGATTGTACTCTTTTACAGACTTACACGTGTTTAAATACTAAACCTTTTTTTGCTTGATCTTTTTTTTTTTTTGGTGGACCCTGTAGTAACGATATGCCGGAAGAATAAAGGTCTAAGAAAGTGCATCAGGCTTCACAAAGCGAAAGAGAGGATTCAGAGTCCAAGTGTCCCCATATAAACAACGCCACAAAGTCACTCGAACGTCATTCACACTAACGTCATATCCTTTTGAAATAAATAGCTTTGTGTCATTATGTGCTATTCTCTTTTCTTCACATTCAAATAAAATGTAATCACTAAAAAAAAAAACCTGCTCACTCAATGTGTGAATTAATTTTGTTTTCAACAATATTCGTCGAACTTATTCTCCCATTTTGTGTTGTTAGTATAAATCGAATATGATACTGTACATGTACCGTATGATCTGGACTAGAAGTCGCACCAGCCAGATACTGGTACATCCATTGTGCTGACAATCGATTGCTAAGGTCTTCCAGAACGGAAAAAAGACTTACAGTGTTAAACATAAACTAAAAACGGAAATATTTATATTTCGTTGTTCATGTCAAAGAAGTACAGATTTGATTTCAAATCTCTATCTACAGCTCCATCTGATTTGCATTCAAATAACGAGTTAGCTACCGTGAGTTGTAATGAATGATGTATTCAGTATTAGTTTATATTCAGTTTATATCTTGTTTGTTATTGTACTCGTTGTTGAAATGTGCGACACGTACATCAGTCCATTGGCTACGTTTCAATCATATAGCCGCGTCCTCACGTTTGTGTAAATACTGCCCTCGTGTGTTGTGTAAATGTTACTGACATAACTTGACAGCTCAACGCTTCAGTTCTTCTACATATTACTTCTCGGACTATTACTTCGAACCGAGATTAAAATTAAACTTTTGATTGTTCGACATTGTTATAAGTAGCTTTACATTTCTTTCAATTTTGTGATAGCTTCTGTGTGCATGTTAGGGTGCGCGTCAAGCTAAATACACATACACCTCAGCTATGTAGAAGTCAGTCGTACCAACATTTCAATTGACCTCAAGTGTTCTCCTAACATCCCACTGAGAGAAAAAAAAACATAGTGTCCGACCAAAAAAAACAACAACTTTGTGTTCTAGGAGAATTTTGCTCCACAAACGGCAAAGGACAAATAGGTCTCCATTTAACTAATCTTCACAGGCATTATAATGTGTGAGGAAGTGGCTGAATAGTACCTAGTGATGTGTCAAATTAGGAAAATACTTCAAAAGAGCAAAATAAACACACCTATATTCGATATATAATAATATCGAAAAGACTTCAAAAGAGCAAAATAAACACACCTGAAGGTAATGCTGTGGCGCTGTTAGCCTTGCACTGCTATAACAGAGAGACTGAAAATGTTCAAAAACAGTAGTGTCCTCAATTAATAATTGTAAAACAACAAACAAAATAAAAAAAAAATATAAGTTGTAATGTCCCGATAAAGTTAAAGAAAACCCTTGATGATTTGTAACGCGGTTAAAGTACTTGTACGGTAGCAAAGAGTGTTACAACTGCTGTTTTACTAGAGAAGAAGAAACACTTCCGGTTTGGATAGCGTCATTTCCGTACTTCAGAGCTCCAGTTTAGGTAGGTAAGAAGACGGCGGTGCGTTGCGTGTTCAAATTGTGTGTTAAAACAATTCTTTGCTTATAAAAGAATGTACGGTGTTAAGACCGAATAATAATATAGTAATATCGAAGCTGCATATGGTTAGTTTTGAGGCGAATGTAACTGTCAGCACAGTTGTTTATTTCCTTGCTCGAGTGCACCCTAAGTAACCTTGGTATTCATTAGTTAGCATCATTAAACAGTTTATTTAGGTTTAGGGTCTGGACATTAGTAACCCTATCATATTACATCATAAAATGATGTGAGCGATTAACATACTCTTTATGCTGTTCCTGTTACAGAAACCTCTTAACAGTCATCAGAAGTCAAATATATGTAAAAAAAAAAAAAAAAAAAAGGTTTAGTGCACAAATCATACGCAGCCTTGTGTTGTCCACATGCCACACTTAAATTGTAAATCTTAGGTGTCATTTACATAATGTTTTAACCCTTGTAAACTTTAGCCCTGATTAACAAAACGTCAATATTAGCGAGTTGTGTTTAATCTTGCCATGACTCTATACCTTCAGGATTTAATAAGAATTCACCAGTTCCGGTATCGATATCACTTATTGATTAAATATCAATTTCCTTACCAACACTTATTGTATTACATTAGCAGATACTGGTACACAAGCCTAGAGTGCCCTCTAGCTGCTGTAGTGGGAAAATAACAAACGTGTACATTTTCAGCCGGTATCGATATCACTTATTGATTAAATATCAATTTCCTTACCAACACTTATTGTATTACATTAGCAGATACTGGTACACAAGCCTAGAGTGCCCTCTAGCGGCTGTCAGTGGGGAAATAACAAACGTGAAATTATATATTTTTATATATAACTCGCACCTGAGTATAAGTCACAAATCCAGGTTTGGCTTATAGTCCGGAAAATACGGTAATTGATTCCTACTTGGGAGTGAGTTTAAGGGTGACAGTACAATTACCCTTCTTTTTTTCTTTAACATCATTGTTCTTTTTATGTTCAATAAAGCATTTCATCTTTATCCCTTCTCTTAGGTGCTCTCCTTCTGTTCCGTTCTTAATGTTCCCCGCTGTCATCCGCAGTATTTGGCCCGCCTCTGCCCGTCTTGCCATACGCCAACCCCTGGGACACTTTAGACTGCACATGGACCCAGACGTAAGCCGGCCCATTGAGAGGGCTATCAGAACCAAACTGACCGACACACTGAGGCCAGACCACTTGGAAGTGCACAATGAAAGTCACATGCACGCTGTGCCCCCTGGTTCTGAGAGCCACTTCCGCGTGCTGGTCGTGAGCTCCCAGTTTGAAGGATTGCCGCTAATTCAGCGCCATCGTCTGGTTAACGAAACTTTGAAGGATGAGTTGAAGAGCTATGTCCATGCACTGGCAATACAGGCCAAGACTCCTCAGCAGTGGGCCACTAACCCGACCTTAGCCAAAAGCCCACCCTGCATGGGAGGATCAAGGGGAGATAATACTGTAGAGGAGAAACAGAAAGCTGGACGAGAATGAGCTGGTGGACTGTAAAATGTTGGAATCTGCAGGTGAAGGTTATCACTTGAGACTGGATAAAAAAAAGATGGGTTACGGGAGATCATTTTAGAGTTTCTCCATTCATTTTCAGATTGTTTTTCACCAAGGGTTTGCCAAGTGTACAGTTCTGTAATGTCCGCTATGACGGGTTTTTTCCATTCAGAGATAATCTGACAATGTTTCAAAACAACAGGTCGTTCAGACTCTGATACTAACAGAAGAAAGTCTAAAAAAAATGTTTTATTTTGAAAATTTAATGAGCCTTCATTTACCGGTCCGCAGTAACGACTGATACCAGCCGACCAGTCCTTCGTACGAAAAAGGTTGTTCACCGCTGCGCTATGACATTAGCAGGCTATAAGTACATGATATATAATGCACAATGTCTTGACTTGTAAACAGATGTAAACAGATAAGCCGGAACTTGAATCTGTAGAGCTGAAAGCAAACTTGTTGAATATTGTTACATCACATATTGCAATATGACTTGTCGTATATATTGACATATTAAATATTCTAAAAAAAAAAATGTTGTGTGTTTACTGTTGTATTGCTGGCATTTCCACTCACTTTCAGGGCCAGGAAATCCAATCAGCAATCAAAATATTAGCGGGAACTCTGATCTCCAAGTATAGCAGGGAAAATGGAAGGCTACGCACACATTTCTTGTATATAATATATTTTATTAACATTTATCTTGTTTATATTATGTCTTTTTTTATTATTATTTTCAGCCCTGGGGATTTTGGCGTTTTTCTGCATTTACAACAGATGACCACTAGGAGGCAGTGTATTGTATGACACGTTAGGCCACAAGCCGTGGTCTGTGTGAAATTGTGACACATGTATGTAAAAACAACTGCTTTCAAAAAACGGTCAACTGTGACCACTATGCGTTTAGTTTTTTATTTTGCAAAATTTTATTTTATTTTTTTAAATTATTTTGTCAAAAATTAGCTTTAATGAGACCTGTTCCATAAATGGGATACATTTACGGGAGAATAAAAAATATATTTTAATTTAGGTCATTTTGGAAAAGAAATTCAAAAAATTAAATTAAGGAATAAGACCAGAAATGACTGGTATTTATTTTATATTCACATTTTAATTGTTCAGGATTATTGATATCTGATGTCACGAAAGGGTCAATTTCACAACAAAGTGCAAACTCAAATAAAAATCAACAAGGACAAAAAAAAAAAAGAAAAACGAAAAACCAAAACATCTCACGTACCATAAAAACAGAATGAGTAAAGTCACAATGAAGTGAACCGTGATTTATAACTTGAATCGAAGATTACTTCGATAACCTATTCTCACGTACCAAATGCACACACACGTAACAACACATCATGTTCATTTACACATTTCTTTTATGACGAGTTCACATTTTCATAGTGATGATTCCACAAACGGTGCCTGTACACTACAGTTTCTATTACACAATGACAAAACGTGATCAGTTCTTTAGTACACTGACTGAATGGCAGTACATTTTTCCATTGACATGGGCCCTCGGACCCAGGATTGCTTCAGATAGTACAAGTGGTTAGCTTTGCTGTGGTTCAGCATCTTATTAATTCAGTAAGTTTTGCCTTTCACTTAACAAGGTTTTGTAATGTGCTTTTCATTTCTTAAAAACTTCCAACAGGAATAAGACCTAAATCCCCCTCCCCCGCCCCCACCCCATGCTTATTGCTTTGTTACCATTCTGCCCTCAAAATTGGCTGTTGACCAGATAAGACGTTTCACAATTATACAAAAAGACCCTGTAACATAAGCTGCGTTTGCACAAGAGGAACAAACATATAAGAACGTGTGTCTACGAGACTATGGATCCACGATACCGTTCTAATTTCTTCTCATAAAAGGATGAAATGATAAAAGCAAACCAATTTCGTTTTTAATTTTTTTTTTTTACTTCACTTGTTTTTAACTCCGAGGGTAATAAACGTTGCTTTATTTTATACATACATTTATACAGTCCATGTGTGTGTGTTTTTTTTTAACCTGTATTTTAAAGAGTGGCTGTGGCCAAATCTGCTTCTTCCTGTCACTGTCGGATCTGAAAGAATTTCAATTATTGCAACGGCACGCTATTTTTCCTGGATTTTTTTTTATTGTGCTTACTGTGCTCCACGCAAATATTTCCTTAAAGTTTTATTCTTATTAAACTGCATTTCACATACACATTTAAAAAGCCTTTGCTTTTGGCAAATAAAAAAAAAAAAAAGACTTTAATTTTCAATTTGTCCCAAAAGCTAGTACCTTATTTTCCGGGCTATTAGTCGCATTTTTTTTTTTTTTTTCATCCTTTGGCTAGGATGGCGACTTACACTCAGGTGTTACTTATATATTCAAATATATCATTTTCACGTTTGTTATTTTCACACTGACAACCGCTAGAGGGCACTCTAGGCTTAGTGTACCACTATTTGCTACCCCTGTAAGTCGCACTTTTTGTCTTCCTTGGGCTGGTGCGACCTATACTCCTGAGGGACTTATATATGTTTGGGTGTTTTTTTTTTTTTTCCCTTCTTCATTATGCATTTTTTGGCTGGTGCGACTTATACTTTGGAGCGACTTATAGTCCGGAAAACATGGTGAATGGTAAGTAATAATATTTTTACTGTCATTTTCTTTGTAGTTTGTGCATCCTTAACAGATACAGTACCCAGCTTGGCTTCCTGTTTTTTTTTTTTTTTTGTTTTTTTTTTTATAGAATTATGAAGAGTGCCTTATATTCTGTGCAGCTCATGAACTGCATTTTTATACATCAACCGGACTTTATCTTCTAAGTCATATACTTGGTGTGGCTTTATGTCTATGAAGTACATTATGCCTTATGAAAGGAGGATGTAGGGGAAGCAGTGAGTCAACAGTGAGCCACAGTCTGGGAGTCTGCCCCCTATGTGCGGGCTCTGTCACAACAGGACTGAATCAAGAGCAGAGTGACTTATAATAATAATAATAATAATAATAATCTCTATTTTCTATGGACAGAGGGAACAAAGATAGGATCTATATAGTTATTGATCACATTGTTTTTATTTACATATATTCATAGCTATCACACAAAGAGATTTGTAAACTCAGGCCGTATAAAAGAGTTGGCAATAATTCATAAGACAGGTGGGCGTCATGGCAAAACTCAGCGATGCATGACAGACGTCAAATTTCAAATTTACGGCGGGACTGAGTGTGAGATGTGTTGGTCACTGTGGGTGGGACGCGGGGTCCAAAGATTTCATTTTTAACAAAGGTGGGTTGGTCGTTGTGCTTTTTTCCTAAAACCTTTGTCCGGTTTTTTTTTCAGTACCTTCGAGCTAAGTGGCGCAAGAACAAGGCATGACAATGTCGCCGCGGACAAGGCGTTCACCGTTGTGCAACGGTGTAGGCTTAGTGCAATGGGTTGTCTCCTTTAACGCTACTGAATGTATGGCTGATATCCTACAAAATGGCAGTTTGGACAAAGAAAAAAAAAAAAAAACCCTGTCATTATTGTTAACGTTTGAGAAATTGTCCTTTTCTGTTATAATTTATTGGAAATCCTTTCACTCAGGGTGCACTCACGCTAGGGCTGTTGTACCGCACCCGATCATGTTAGCTCAATCCAAGTTCCGATTCCATGGCTAGTGTGAGGGACGACTATTTTGAAGACAAAGCAGCCGTGTGTCTGTTAATTTTTTTTTACGAGGACGGGGATGTCGTAGGGGACTGTTTTTGGACGGCTTTTGTGCTATGTGTGAAATATGTCAATGAGCCCATGGAGGCGGGGGGGGGGTCTCTGGTGGGAATTTAATGGATTAAAAGTTGTGTAGAAATGAAACACAAACACACACACACACACACACAAAAAAACAATATAAAAATACCATTATTTGACATGTACCGTCTTTCGAGTTCTATGTCCCAAAAGACAGTCCAACTTGGAAAAAGTCCGTTTCAGAGAGCTACGTTTAGTGTGGGTGCGTCACTATCTCCTCAAACTTCTATTTGGTCAAATATGTCGTTCTCCCACAGTCCGTGATTATTGCATGACTACGTCTTCCACGTTACACAGAAGAAGGACGTGTTAACTTAATAAATATATAAAAAATAAAATCTTAATTTTTTGTGCTCTATTGTGCAAAAACGAACGAAAACATTTCACCTCACGAACTAAAAATTGGTCACAGTTAATCTTGGCACCTCAAACACCGGTCCAAATTATATTATCAGTTTATATTATCATTATACTTCTGCCTTTTCCCTGCAATGCCCGCATTTCCCCAATAGATGGCGTAGAAAATGCTAAAAACATTTTAGCATTTTTAGCCTTTATGCATGACTTTTACATTTTCATTTATCTTAGTTCACACCAACGCTCCATCTATCTGCTCCTGACCCCGACCCCCCCATGTTCAATTTCAGGACAATTGTGGCCCGCGAGTCTCGTTTTGATGTACTAGCAGTAGTAGTAGTACTAGTAATAGACACGCTTCTAAGGGGAAATATTTTCGCGACCTCTCTTCGTAAATCCTATAAAAATCCGGAATGTGGATGTAATCTACAAAATGGCAGTTTAATTACCAACGCAAGAAGTTAGGCCAAGAAGATCTACGACGTTCCCCGCTCCCATCCTGGTATTATCAGAAAATGTTACGATTGCTTCAGATGTGGTTAAAAAAATTTTTTTTTTAAAAAGTAAGACGTTATGTGAAGGTAGGAGGGGAACTGTGGATCAATCTAAATTCTCTGAACACCAACAACCTCGATGACGTCTCACTTGATTATTACGATTTTGTCCGAAATAACTACAGCTAATTGGTTTCAATTGGCACGTATTAATGTGTTACCATTTATTTACATTTCAACAGAATTCTCTGGCGGGTTATTTGCACAAACCTTGCTGTGTAAATGTATCGGGGGGGGAAAAGGACTTGAGGAGTTTAGGGGATTCTTCAACTGTTCTTCTGCAGCGCCGGGGGACACTACCTCGCGACACCTCTCGCACAGAACGCTTTTTTTTTTTTTTCCCCGCTCCATGCTATTGCAGCACCTGGCCCCGTGTCTCAGGAAGTTTAAGGGCCAAAAAACTGCCAGCCGCCAGCGCCCCCGAGGCAAAGAGGATAGGTACGGCCTTGGTTATGCCGACGAATGACGTGAAGATGCTTATGCCAAGCACGGCTGCTAGTTTACAGAGAGCATTGAGGAAACCAAACGCTGTAGTCCTGGAGGGAAAAGGATACATAAGAGATGTTACACAAAAGAATATGAAACAAATCCCAATGACCGATGATCTCAATATCAGCCGATACTGATATAGCGGGGAAGGTAAGTGTCGCCTGCTCACTAAGGTGATTGGTTAAAGCAGTAATTCTTAATTATTTTCTGTGTCTGGTAATATATTTTTTTTTAACCGTACAATCCCCTGATTGAACAAAATCGATTAATAAAATGAGCTGCAATGCTGCCATCTAGTGGCTTTCACTTTCACCTACGGCCGTTTTTCCCCAAAACTTTTTTTTGTAGGGCACACATCATTTGCCAAAAACCGAGGCATTGCGTAATCAGGTTTTCATTATCGGAGGAAAAACGATTGTTAACGATTCTTACAGATATTATATAATTATGCTAATATCGGGCCAATAATATCATGTCAGCCGATATTATTAGACATCCCTAGTGAACCGTTAAAGTAATAATATATATTTTTTTTTCATTAAAACTTAAAAGTAAAATGTAAAAAAAATAAGCAAAATAACTAAAATGGTCGGAGTGTCAAACTCATTTTCACCGGGGGGGGGGGGCCACATCAGCAATACAGTTCCCCTTAAAGGGCCGGTTGTAAACGGAAGACTGTATAGATGTAACGACTCCATAAGGTATTAATAGATTTTTCTGAAATTGATTATTATTTATTCAAGTTACAAATATTGTCCATTGCTGTGAAATAAAAAAAGAATTTATCAGGTTAAGAAATTCAGCATAATGGACTTTATTATAAGGCAATTCAATGCTTTTTAAACTCCCGTAGGCATTTGGGCCTTGAGTTTGACACGTGCTTTACGAAATACCACAAAATGTTTTTTTTCCCCATTGAACTAGACAGAAACGGCCGGCGTATTTCTCATGCAAACTAACTTTGACAGTATTGCCCAAATTTACTTTTTCAATTTCATTTTTTTTTCTGTTTCAATTTTTTTTTATCTACCTCTTGTCAGAGGGGTAGAGCTCGACAGTGAGCACATCCAGGGCGTTCCAGGAGGCTATGCTGATTCCACCGAACAGACACAGCAGAGCAATCATGGCTGACTCGCTGTTGCCAAAGGACAGCAAGAAACAGCTAAAACAAGATATAACACTGGAGCCAGCTGTAGAAAAAAGGGAAGGAGAGAAGCGTCACAATATATACATTTTAACATATCATACAACATTTCAACTATTTTAAACTATGATAAATAATTGTGAGCTAACCGTCGCTACTACCAACATTTCTCCTTTCAAGTGGAGAAAGTGCTTTGAGGTTAAAGGGCAACGCATTCTGTTTACGTTCTGTTCTCAGTGTTATATATAGTCATATATATATATATATATATATATATAGTATAGAAATATATAGTCTTGCTGTTAAACTATTACATTCATTAGATAGATAACTATCTAATGTCTAATGACTATCTAAAGCAGGGGTGTCAACCTCATTACCACCAGGGGGCCACATCAGCAATACAGTTCCCCTTATATATCCCCGTGTAGATCAGGGGTCCCGAACCCCCGGCCCGCGGACCAGTACCAGTCCATAAGTCATAAAAACAGTCATCACAGTAGGACACAGTTAGAAAATGTACTTAATTTTGACTAATTTACTTCATTCAAAAACAGTCATATCCACTTAAAGATAAGGATAATCTGGCAAAAGTTAATCTAATTTTAAATTAATAGATAAATAATTGTGTATATATTCTTTTATCATTAAGATTATATATAGGTTTTATCAATTGTGACTCACGGAGTAAAGGTCCGATTATAAGTATTTTTTACTTCTTCTTACTTATACAAGTGTGTGTGTGCATCATAAGTCGCAATATATTTATATATTTTACACAATTATTTTTTTTTTCGAACAAGAGCTAGAACGTGTCACTAACACGATCAGCCCCCCTTTCCTCTTTGCACCCCCCCGCCCCCCCGTTACCTAACATCCGTAACCGTCCAATCTTGTCCATTAGCAGTGCAGAGACTATGTTGCCTGGCAACACAGCCAAGGTGCCCAGGAAACTGACAAAGTAGACCATGTAGGCATTATTTTCATCGCTGACATCGCTCAGCAAGCAGCCCTCCTTGTTGTGCAGGAAGGTGCTGTTGATAAGCTTGCAGTTGACCAGCCTGTACTTGAAGAGATCTAGACAGAAAGAGGAGAGAAAAGAGGGTATTCCTGGCTCAGTACTTTGCAGTGCAGTACTTTTATTAGTACTCTATGCATCTAAGTACTGTATTTTCCAGAGTATAAGTCACTCTATGGTATAAGTCGCACCAGCACCCTCTAGCGGCTGACTGTGTGAAAATAACGAAGATGTACATTTTCAGTGGGACAGGAGTAGCAGATACTGGTACGCATGCCTACAGTGCCCTCTAGTGGCTGTCAGTGTGAAAATAACAAAGTTGTAAATTTTCAGTGGTACAGGAGTAGCAGATACTGGTACGCAAGCCTAGAGTGCCCTCTAGTGGCTGTCAGTGTGAAAATAACGAACGTAAATTTTCAGTGGTACAGGAGTAGCAGATACTGGGACGCAAGCCTAGAGTGCCCTCTAGTGGCTGTCAGTGTGAAAATAACGAAGATTTAAATTTTCAGTGGTACAGGAGTAGCAGATACTGGGACGCAAGCCTAGAGTGCCCTCTAGTGGCTGTCAGTGTGAAAATAACGAGCGTAAATTTTCAGTGGTACAGGAGTAGCAGATACTGGTACGCATGCCTACAGTGCCCTCTAGTGGCTGTCAGTGTGAAAATAACGAGCGTAAATTTTCAGTGGTACAGGAGTAGCAGATACTGGTACGCATGCCTAGAGTGCCCTCTTGTGGTCAAATGATATATTTAAATATGTAAGTAACGCCACGAGTATAAGTTGCGAACCCGGTCAAAGGATGAAAAAAAGTGCGACTTATATTCTGGAAAATATGGCAATGCACTTCTAAAAACATTAAAGAGCAAGATAGAAGATCTTGAAGGCGGGGATATTTGAAAATGTAAACATCTAGCTAGTACTAAGTGATGAGCTAAGTGGTGAGAAATGATATCCAGTGAAAAACCGATGAGCCAATGTGTGTCTGGCTGTAAAAAAAAACTGTTTTCATGTATGCAGACTACTGCAAAATGGTATCAGTGCATCTCCTGAGCAGCGGTGGCTGCTGGAAGAGTCACTGAGAGACTCGGCTGGGGCAACAGATTGATTTCTGCCATCAGATTTCCCGACGCTGATTGGATACATTTCTGTTGCTATGCAATCTTCTCATGTCAGCAACAGGACAGTAATTGGCTGCGTTGCTGCACTGACAGGATGAGAGGATGACGATTTATATTTTTATTAATGACATGTTACGGTGAATTTTAAACACACCCATACATAAAATAAGTGATTATTGTTTAATTGAAAATGTTTATTAAAAGCTCCCTTTATGAGCTAACCGTCGCTACTACCAACATTTCTCCGTTCAAGTGGAGAAAGTGCTTTGAGATTAAAGGGCAACGCATTCTGTTCACGTTCTGTTCTCAGTGTTATATATAGACATATATATATATATATATATAGTATAGAAATATATAGTCTTGCTGTTAAACTATTACATATCTTAGCTAATGACTATCTAAAGCAGGGGTGTCAACCTCATTACCACCAGGGGGCCACATCAGCAATACAGTTCCCCTTATATATCCCCGTATAGATCAGGGGTCCCGCGGACCAGTACCAGTCCATAAGTCATTTGGTACCGGGTCAGAGTAGGACACAGTTACAAAATGTAATGTAAAGTGTAATTTTAAATTAATAGATCATTCAAATTCTGATACTATCAGAATAGAAGTATATAACAAGTTTTTTTATACTTTTATTTTAAAGAGTTTTATTTTGAAAATGTACCTTACTACTGGTCTGTACTAACGGTCGGTACTGGCTGACCAGTCCTTGGAACAAAAATGGTCAGGGAGCGCTGGTATAGATGTAGCTACTCCATAACAGACTAAAACATGTTTCTGCAATTGATTATTA